AAAGAAATAAATATTGTCGCGGTACGAGGGCTCTTGACGAGCTGCCTCGGCCAGCTTCTGGAGTTTCGCAGCCTAGACCTCTACCTACACAATGGTGCCCATAACGAAGAATTTGTAGTGGAGCTTCCGTAAGAGCCCTACCTGTAATGGAGTGTGTGGGACGCTGCTGGCTTCTTATAAAAATATCAAAAGATCGAAAGCGCTGGTAAAGGTGAAACACGCTGTAGCGGTGAACGGCATGCCTATTGAAGCTATTGCAGATAGTGTTGGTCTTTGACACGAATCCATAGTTTTGGAGACATTTGTACTAGACAAACAGATAGGATACATGCTCTTACTTTTGTGGCAGAAATCAACTCAAATTCGGTGTAGTGGCGGCCTCTGCTCTTTTTTAAAGAATGAGACTTTTTGAGAAGTGTTTTGAATATGGAAACATGATCTCGCGAAGGGACTCTTCCAGCAATTCGGAAGGCTACAAACTGCTCCGCTTATTCCATCTTTGCCAATAATTCCTGCTAGCTGGCTTCAGTTTTCTTTTTCGGTCTTGTATTCTCATTTCTCTCTTCTAATACTTACTCTTATCTCACTCTTGCCGACCTTTATATCACTCATTGGATGTGCTTCATTCAACACATCGATAAGCATTCAGATTCCTTCAGTATCGTGGGACGACGTTGGCGGCTTTGAGGAAACAAAAAGGCTCATCATCGAGAGCATTGAGGCAAATCTTCAAGGCTCTCGACTACAGAGGTCGGGCATTATGTTGTTCGGACCGCCTGGATGTGGAAAAACGCTCATCGCCAAGGGTCTGCTCTCTCGTTATTCCGAGAATATAGCAATTACACGTGTTCGCGAATTTCAGCTGTGGCAACGGAATTCAAAATCGCCTTTTTGAGCGTCAAAGGACCTGAGCTCCTAAACATGTACGTTGGTCAAAGTGAAGAGAACGTGCGTAAAGGGAAGTCTTATTTTTGTCAGTTTTCTTTCAAGGACTTCCGTGTGAAGTGTGCCACCGGCCGCACCGAGAAAAAAGTGCATCGCCTGCTACCCTGCATTGTTTTGGAACCTGTGCATGACCGAAGACGCGGGCTCCCATACGGGTCAGGCCGCCATTCCTCGTCGTTTTTATTTCATATAGCTCTGCATCCGAAAACTAAGGTTATCTGATCACTGTGTCCCACGTGTCGAGGAAACTCGGCCAGTACTTGACCGATGCGAACTCCGAGTCATCCGCGCAGGGTTTAGAAAAACTTTCAAAGCTTATGCTACTCAATTTGTGGTCCGAGTCTCTACAACCACGACCTGTCCTATTTTTGAACTTCCACTTCCATCCTTCTTCCATCTTACCGTGCAAACAGGAACCTGACTTTGAACTAAATTTTTCTCGACAGTGTTGAAAACAGCAAAAGTTCGTGATTTTCAGAACGTTGCTGTAAAATTTCTGAATCCACTCGTCAGACAAATTGCTGCAAGAAAAAATCCTCTTGAAATTTCTTCAATTTCCCACAGCCTAGTTAACAACAATTCCAAGTGCTCTTTCAAAAATAACCGCTAGTTTTGTTCTATCTTAGAAGACCACGAACTTTTGCTTTATTGAGGCCGAACCTTGTCCTTAGTGCGAACTTGCTGCAAATGGAGACCAACTTTGCTCGTTGTCCACTTTCGGGATGTTCATCCTTATTGGTCATATGACTTCATGGGCATGCTTTACTTCATGTAAAATGAAAAAAGCGACTTTACGCTCCAAGTAATGACCGCAGCAATCGCAAATGCTCCACCTAACCTCTCTTTCGGAACACG